CTCTGTCAGATGAACCAGAGCTTTTGCTCTAAGAAGGGTTCCTGAGTAATCTGAGGAGCCAAACACAGCCAGTCTGCTGACCTTTCCCTTTCTCCTTCACTGCTCTCACAATTCTTGCAGTTTCTGCATGTTGCATTTTGGAAGAGCTCAAATAACAACCCAGTTTATTTTTAGAGAAAACTCAATAGCAAGACCAAGCACCACATCATTTCCACAGAAGGACAGGCATTTAAGGAGATATGTTCCCTTTTATTATTTCCTTCTTTGCATCAGCTCCTTTATCTCTCTCTCTCTAGCAGGCTGCAGCAAAACTCAATGTTTTTTCTTACCTCAATGTAAATACATCAGCTTTACTCACCTTAATTTGTAATCCTAACAGGTCTTGATTGAATGCCACTGCTGCTGAGGGATGCCCTTCCCCACAGTGCCCCTGGAGCCCAGCAGAGCACAGACTTGATGTTCTCCCTGGCAAGTGTCCTCATGAGACTCCCACAAGTTTCAGTGTTGTCTCCTGGCTGCATCAGCAGGAACATCAGCTGCCCAGGTGGAATGCAAATCACCTCTGAGAACCCTTTTAAATAGAATCACAATCCCAGAAGCACAGGATGGGTCAGGTTGAAAGGGATCACAGTGGCGCATCTGGGGCCACCTCCCTGCTCCAACAGGGCCATCCCAGAGCACAGGGCACAGGATTGTGTCCAGACAGCTCTGGAATATCCCCAGTGAGGGAGACTCCACACGGTCTCCAGACAATCTGTTCAAGGCTCTGTCACTGCACAGCTCCAGTCCTTTACATGCTCCAAGCTGAGCCTACAAAATGCCAGAAATTGCTGGTCATGTTGTTCAGTGGTGGTCAGTGAAAACCCTGGACTTGTGATGTTTTACAATCTCTACCTCTGGTGCAGATAAGCTGGGAAATGTGACGCTCACAAGACATTTGGCAGGAAAGTCTTCAGAGACTTTTCCTAAAACCACAGGACCCAAGATTGTGTGACTATGGCCAGAAAGATCTGTATCTCCTGATCCCCAGCCTCCTGATTTAATCCCTATTTCCTATTTATTTTTAATTCATTCATATTTATTCCATAATTCATAATTAATTCCTATTTCCATCCATGATTATTTCTGTTTCTGTTTATTTTTGCTCGTATAGTTCTTCATTTTAGCAACATTTGTTTTTTTCCTTTCTATTTTTTTTCCTTCTCCCTGTTCATTTTATCTTGAAGCTTGTCTTTTGGGTTTTTTTCCTTTCATTTATCTTTGGGTTTGGCAGTATAATTCACTTTATGATGGTGTTTCCCCAGTATGTCTTCCCAAATGCCTCTTCTTCATTTTCAGGGCCTCTGAAAGAAAAAGGGCTGGAAATTCAGGAGAAAACTGCTACTGAATGGCAGTGGATGAGAGGTCAGGCCAAACACATCACACAGGAGCTTGGTCACTTCACGGCAGGCATCCACAGGCAGAAGTGGGAGAGGTTGAGCAACCTGCCTTCCTGGCCACAGGCTGAGGAAGCATACTCTGGACAATGGACTCATTTCTTCCCACTGTCCTCACCACAAATCCCACTCCTTTTATTCACGGTTTCCCCAGGTTTATAGAAAGAAAAACAATCTGATTTTTGCAGTAGCATTCCAGTGCAACAAACAACTGAGTGGAGATTCATATCGTATTTCAATTTGTTGCAAAAATGTGCACTCCGTGTGGCTTTTCACCAGCTCAATTTGATTCCGACAAAATATTTTGATCCTGCAATTCACCACTTTTTAGGGCTTTGTTCTCCTTGACTCTCATGGAATAACGGGCCAGAATTTGCCTATCCAGTGGCAAGGCAGCTACTTCAGAGGCAGGCTCATTCTGTGACTGCAGCCTTCATTTGATATGCCTGCTAACACCATCTCTCCAGATCAGAGGCTTTAGAATCACATCCCACCAAGGAAACACCACCATGGAGTGAGTGATACAACCAAATTCACTAAAGATATAAAAGCAAGGCAAGTAAGTAAATTTAGGTCAAGGTGAGTTTATTGTCCATACAGCATACCTAATCCCGCCAAAACACTTTTCTTAGAACCATCTTTAAACTAGTCAAAACAATAGGTTATTAATAAAAATGACAACACTGAACAAAGACCTTTTAAAAGGCAATCAAGACTACACCATATCAGAGTCTTATCCATCAAAAACAACCTCATGTACTTTCTAAATACTTTTGTTTACACTGATGTCTACTACCACACTTCCTAGCATCCCCTGACCACATAAACATACACACCTCTTAAAGAGCACATTTGTGAGAGAATAACGTTGGCTTGATATGGCATCACACAATAAAGCAAAAAAAAAAAAAAAA